GCAGGGCCTCGCTACTGAAATGAGAAAGGAAATTTATTTTTACCAGGGGCAGAAGTGTGTCACGCTGAGTAAATAAGCAAACTAAACTCTTTCTCCTCATGCGCAAAACTTTCAGATTTGTAGCACCGTTGTGAGTCACAGTGAAACACTGCATCATGAGTGTTTATTTAAGCTCTGCGAGACTGCAGATTCATCAATGTCATGAGAATAATATAAAGGATTGCATCAGCTCTCTGCTCTATATTTTTATCAATACCACAGTCATAAAGCAACAATCTGCACTGGAAATCACAATGACTCAGTCGAATTATAGCTGACTGATTTATTAATACAAGATTTGAATAGTAAGTTATATGTAGCTAGGCTAGGGTTAGGATTAGATAACCCTAACCGTACCGACCAACTAATACTTGATGTGACAAGCGCATATACTCTAGCCTGAGCCTGACACAGTGCTTTGCTCACAGAATCTCATTCATTCTGGATCAAAAGTGAATGTAGGCTAGATATTGACACATATCTCTAACAACCTGTGTTGTACAGAACAGCAGAGAATCTACATTGATTTTTACTTGCATGGCTTCTATATCACAAGGCAGAAATTTTAGCAGTCTGTTTTCCAGCACTATATAAAAGGAATAATCTATAATCTTAACCACATTTAAGTCTATATCTGAAGAATATCATTGGCTCAGATGAATATGTTTACACCATCAGTTGTAGTGTGAAGTAAATCAGAAATCATCTGATGTTCAGTAGACTTAAAATCTGTTAATTCAAACTATGTGAATACTGAGGTTTTGTAACATCGTTTCTTTGGTTATCTCAGAAGCAAGAAAATTCCATCCTAAGTTTGCTGCTATCTTAATGATCTTGTGCCGCTGTGTGCTGTTCAAAGATTACAAACTCTTTGAGTTTGTAATCCCTAAGCTGTCTTCTTGCTCTAAAGAAGGTCTTTTTATTTAAATTTGTAACTGCTTGAAGTGACATTTGCCTCTGGAAAACACGAACATAAGTCCTAGCATATTAAATCCAGGCCTGTATCCCAGCAGTGATGTTGCAAACCTATAAGATTTAGGTCGCTGAAAAGCACCCCATATTTCAGCGCTTGCTTCCATGGTGACTTAGCCTTAGCCTGTTTTTACAAGGATGATGCCAACAAGTGAAATCAAACTGTTCTCATCCTTAGCAAAGCACAAGAAATAAATCTGAAGAGAGGAAAAAGATAAGTTTCTCCACATTTCTTGAAGCAGTTTCTCTGTGTCACAACAGTTTACTTTTTAATTTATTTTTTTTGTCCTTCTCTATGCAGCGGCCTTGAGGAAGAAGTTTCAGTCTCAGGCAAAGCCCTTATAATTGACGATTGCTTATTAAACCACTGATGGTGCAGTGCCTGTGATTGCGCTCCTCTGGGTCAGAAATCTGCACGTTAACAATTCATTGTGCTTCCTTGTTACTTCCATGGACGATGGTTCTGTATTTGTGCTTTTGCCTCAAAGGATCTTCTTTTCCAGAAATTTTCCTTTAATTTTAGTCAGAGTTGGTCAAATCGGGCTGTGACACAACTACAACATGATGTTAGCCTAACAGATTGCAGGGTTTTTTTTTAATTTCTATTTAATATTATTAAAAAAAATTGAATTTGCATGATTAAAACTTCCACTTTTAGCCACATTGACTGCACATTGTTTATTTCGTTTGATATATATTTAAATATGCAGCTCTCCTCTCTGTATACAGTGGTGTTAACTCTTTAAGACCTACCATAGAACCAAGTCCACCAGAGCTTATATTATATTTTTACATGCTGTAGTGCCATTTTTGGGAGCATTTCAAGTTGCTATACATCAATACAACCATTATAGCCCAAATTATAATAATATGTATGCATAAAGTGCATAGTAATTACATAAATTGCAAAAAAGTGCAATAAACTACAAAAAAATTGAAAATTATTTTTGTTTTTTTAACATATATTTCTAGTTAGAAAAATTTAAGGGGCTTATTCCTCAAAACTGTAAATGCAAAAAAGTTGCACAAAATAGTTTCCCACCCACAGGATATTTATTTTGAGTGTCTTCATAGTTTTATTTTTGAAATACACCATTTTTTATATACTGCAGGAAAAACGAAAATAAATATCATAATGCAAATTTGCAAAAAAGCAGCATATGCATCAAAATAAACTATTTCCAGCAGTGCAATTTGAGTTCTAAGCATCCCAGAAACAACACAGAAAGTCATAAAGTCAAACATAACTTTTAAAAACACCAGTATAGGCTCATGAGGCCCTGATGGTAAAAAAAACAAACAAAAAACTACATTTCCGCGAAAATGACGTTACTTCCGGTTTCGAGCAGGTCATGGCGGACATGCGGTAGTTCACGCTGACGTCTATTCCAACGTAGGAAGTGTTACGAACAGCTGATCGGATCGGCAAAGCATGTTTCTGGGATATTATGTTTTTGTTGCTGCAAGTGCTTTTTATGCAGTTTTTGCAAAGCTATATGTGGAAGGAAACCGTGACCTAGGACAAGCTGATGGCATAAAATGTAAGTACAACTCCTCCGGTTTCATATGCAAAAAAAATTATTGCGCTAGCTTACGTGCTTGCAGTTCTACAGGGATTTAAAAATAGTTGCGCAAAATGGAGCGTGCCCGCTCCGACAGGTTTTAAAGGGTTAAAAAAGTGTCCCTGATTTCCTGGTTTTTTTATATCTCATGTAGGTTTGGATTTTTTTCCCCTTAATATTAATCACCTTCATTTAGAAACTGCATTTTGTGTTTCCTTGTGTTATCTTTGGCTAAAATTTAAATTGCCTTGATGATCTGAAACATTTAAGTGTGACAAACATACAAAAACACCACTGTATCTATGTGTGTGTGTGTGTGTTTTTGTCACGTGTGGTCCCGGGACAGTTCTGGGCAGTATCTTAACTGTTC